TCGTTTCAGTCATTTTATACGTGCATCAACTCTCTGTTTAAATTTATGTACTGTGGTACGTTGAATGATTTTAGAAAACTTCTGCTGTGTGGTGGAAGTGTTTTTATGGATCTGAGGGGATTTTTACCGAAGTAGAAAAGCTCAGTTTTGTTTGTTATTCGATTTTTCTGGTTGAATTATTTATTCTTAGTGCAACGTTTCCTTTTTTTTTCTTTTGATTTTGTCGGCAGCATCGTTTTCGATGGATAAAAAATTCAGTGTGCCCAGAACTGGAATTTGAAGACTTGGTGTTTCCACGGCTCTCATGTAGGTTAAGCAGTATTTATCTGTTCAAATGCGAGAATGGTAGCGTAGTCATTGTTCAGGTCAATGTCACAGTTAAGCTTTTGAGGCGATATTTTATTTTTTTTCTTTTCTCGGAAACGGCATTATTTGACGATATTCTTTGTGAAAAAAGGCTAAGATCTGTAATTGAAACATCTTACTTGAATTGGATATTTTAACACTTTAAAAATACCTATTGATGGTGTTTGGAAATTTGAGGTTTTTCTAATTAGGATTTGTTTGTTCACTTTGTTACTGTCCCTTGTTTAGTAAGCTTTTAATGGAGGGTGCGTGATGACTGTTTTTTTGCGGAGCAAGAGGAAGAAGCTTGAATTAGCATCGTCTCGTTTTTTTTGTTTTTTTTGCTATTTCCGTCAGTGTGTTTATAAAATGCTGATTAGTTTTGAACATTAGATGATGAACATCTTATGATTTTTTACATCGTGAATGATCTTTGAGATTGAGAATAAAGAGAGGTAATGTTCTTTCATTTTTGTCAATGGTAGTTGTTATGTCACGTTTGTTATAGGTGGGTGGAGAAGTTCTAATTATTGTCAGGTGTTTAGTCGAGTTGGAAAAGAGTTTTAAAAATTGTTATTCAGTGCAAACTTAATGCGAAATGCTTTTGTGCAAGAAATGTAGAAATGAAGCTATAAATATTGTAATTAACCTCATACGGCAAAAATTATGTAGCTTTACGTTTACTGCGACTATTTTATGTTCTTGCAGCCTAAAAGATTGTTAGTCACCAAGTCTTCAGTAGTCCTAAAGGAACAAGCAAACTGACAAGTTGCTTCATTTTTCTATGGGTAAAGCGAAAAATTTTTGGTGGGACTTTAGATATATGTTTTGCATTTTTTCTTCAGCTTTCTAATTTTTTAATCACAATGATTATGATGCAGAACCGATGAAGATTCACCTCTAGTTGATGTTTTTATTGGGAGAAAGGATCTTTGGTTACTTTAGTTATATTAGCCGTATTTGAGGCATTTATAATTTAATTTTACTTGTAATGTTTTTTTCAACTCATCTATAAGCTCTTGGACTCTTCTTTTCTTCAAAAATCATACGACAGCCTGTATTTGTGGCTTTCCACTTACTGTTTTCAGGTCTTCAATTTTTCTTGCTTTTATAATGAGTTTTGGGTTTTTCAGACATTTTTTCGGGAGTCTTTTAGCGGGATTTTTGAAGTGGTAGCTGACTATGCTACTAGTTCTACTACTATTTCTGTTTCCAGAGTTCATTTTAAAAGCGCACTTTTTTTCTTATTTCATATGTTAGTGGCTGGCGTGTGATAGGTTAACAGTTTTTTTCTTTGTCGTTGTTCATAAATGTAACTTTGGAACTGTGGCCGTCTAGTGGGAATTATTAAACTGTACTGTTATGGCTGTCTGTAGTTTTGTATTCCATACTGTTAATAGCGCTTAGTGTTATTGAGATAGTTTTGTATTCTCTTCTGATGAACGGATTTCCACTCGTTGTATATGTGTTGTTATTGTTTGAATTCAATTTTTTATGTGGCTATACTGATGTACGTGTTTTTAGATGACTTCGCACCATTGATAATTGTGTTATAAATCAGCTAAATCAGTTAGGTGGCGAATATTTGTATTAATTAGGTTTCGAGTAACGTTAAATAGTTGCTTATGTTGTGAAGAATACTGCATTTTGGAAAAGTGAATAACCGGTTATGCTCATTATTCGGATCTTAAAACATGAACTGGCTTGGCGATTATGGCTGTTTCTCATAATTTTTCTGCAACATATTTTAACGGTAAGGTTTTCCTGTTCAAGAACTAACTTAATGAGTTACACAGAAGCACCAGACTTAACCGTAACAAGTGAATTCGTGGCAGAAAATAAAGCATAGTGGTTTTGAACGAGCTTTAATTAACCCTAATTTTAAAAAAAAAAGTGATCTTTTGAACAAATTTTATGTGGAGGATAATTTATTTTGTTGGGATTTGATTATCTATTTGATGATGAACGATATGATATTATATTTTTAAGTAATCACTTTAAAATGGTCTGAATTAATATTTAATAAAATGCTTGATAAATATTTGATAATATTTAATTAATAATTATTATGGGCTTACGTTTTTGGTTTTTAAATAAATTGGTTTTTGTGCTACTTTTGCATAAATGCATATAATTTTTAAGTATAATGTCTAGTCGTTGCCAGAATTTTTTTAAATCACTTTTCTTTTGCATAAGAAATTATATTTTAAAGTTAACGAGGTAAACAGCTTTTTTTAAGGAAGTTTTCCTGGGTTTTCTTTTCACTTTCTGTCTTTTTGAGCAGGATTTTAATTTCCTGAGATATAATATTCAAGCGATAGATCACAGTCTTTTCATTAATGACTGTTTAACCATTCTTGAGCTTTTTCAGAACTAAAATCTCGGACATGGTTGTAACCTTTGATCTTACCTAGGGAATCTGAACCGTGTTTATAGCCTTCGCTAGGTTTCTTTTCTTTGATGCGATAAATTTTTAGTAATTTTTCATAGCTTGTTAAGTCATACGAATGAACACCCCTTTAATGCTGTAATGTTGTTTATTTAACTTTCTGGTGAGCATTTGGTTTAATTTCTTCCATACATGGTATTTTTCGGTTAAAAAGCAGCTCAAAACTTGTTATTTATTGGTTTTTTGGATTTTTACAAGACAGTTTTTTTAGTTATAAGTTTTGTTTACAAGTATATCTTAGAGCATTCTATTAGTTTATTAGTTTTGCAAAACAACTTTTTATATTTGATTATACTTTTTCAAGGAATTAAGTTATTCCAGGGATGTGCCGGTAAAGATAGGTATTGTGGTAACGTAGACATTCGAACTGCTTCGAAATATGGAGATCCCCTTATCGATTACAAAAACTGTACAGTTGTGGAGGGGAATGTTATAATTGCTGTGTACAATGATACGACGGTTGATGAAACGACATATGAATCTTTTAAAAATATTCGAGTGGTTACTGGATTTGTTGTAGTCTTTTTCACGGAGTACGTCTAGATTACGATTTGATTTTGTTAATAGTTTTAAAATTATCGGTTTAAAGAATTGCACCAGAAGGTGATTACAAGAAAAAAATTTCAAGTTATGGACTTTAAAGAGTTGATTCTTGAAAGTCTTACTTCTACGAAAAGAATCAGAAATATTTTATTTTAATTGATAATTTTTTTAAAAAATAATTATTTTGTTGTCAGGAATTTGCGTTCGCTTTCTCGTGTACTTCCCAACCTTCGGATCATTGGTGGCGATGACATGATTGTGAATTATGCTCTGATTGTTTATTCTAATATGGGACTGCATGATATTGGGTTGTCGAAACTTACGGCGATATTGAATGGCGGGGTATATTCGGTTGGTAATGAAAATTTGTGCTATGTTTGGTCTGTTAATTGGGATAGATTACTGCAAGGGCCAGATCGACATATTTATATTGACGAAGGAGCCAATTTGAAAGCAGGTTCGTGTTAGAGTAGTAACCTGAGTAATGATATTACGCTTTTTTTTTTTTGGCAATTGTTTGATTTTACTTTTGGGTTTTATTTCAATTTACGTTTTAGATTCTTGCAACTACGGAGGTACTTGTAATGTTAATAATAGTAGTCGTTGTTTAATCGAAAACGGAAAGCCTATGTGTTGGAGTAAAAATTTTTGCCAGGAAGGTTAGATTCAAAAGTGTCTTCAAATTTAACTTTTCATACTTGTTTTAAGTAAAGCTTTTTCTTGGAATTTTGGCTTTTTTCTTATTGCTGCAACGAATTTTCATGAATAGCACGTGGAAATATTATTTAGCTTGCGAACACGATTTTGACATGGTATGTGTGAAGAAAAAGGAAGGCTTGTGTGAAAATACTACAGTTAGAGGCCCTGGGTGTGATGATCAGGGGAGACGATGTCATGAGCAGTGCATTGGAGGATGTTCGGCAGTTGATGACCCTTCGTCATGTCATTACTGCAGGAACGTCAACTTTGATGGAGAATGCGTAGAAAGTTGTCCAGAAGGAATGCTCGAGTTAAAGGCGCCTAGAAGAATAAGGTATTAACCCATAAATTCTAATGTTTTATTCAACTGATTTACTAGTAATTTAAACTTTTCGCATCAATTCTTGAATTCCCACTCACATTCTGTTTTTTAAGCATTCGAAAGAATTTGTGGTATGAAGCATTTTACCACATTTTATTTAGACAAATGCGATACGAAATGGTCATTTATATTTGTATTTTCATGCGACCTAGCTAATTTTCAGTTAATAACATTTAGGCGATGTATCTCCGAAGCAGACTGCAGAAGGATTAGCGCAGAAATCCTGGCCATCATTGCTGATGTTGAGTCGCTACGTATGGTTGATAATGTGTGTCAAGTTGGATGTCCGGCTGGAATGGAGAAGGGTAAATTTTTTTTTTCAGAGGCAAACATAGAGGCATTTAGAGGCAAACATATCTGAGATTTCTTCAGTTACTATAGAGACATGAAATTACAAAAAGGATTGTTCGATTGAGACTTATGTTTTGGAAGTTTGAAGTATTTCTTTTATGCTAATTTATTTAATGTTCCTCAAGATTCAGAACAGGGCGGTCCTGTTGTGTTAAAAATTCAGTTTTTCAATTCTCAGAAAATTGCAGTGTGTTGAACGTTTGAGTAATTTAGATGAAAACGATCCTTACAAATGTAAGAAATGCTCTGATGAGAAAGGTTGTGTTAAAAGGTGTTCCGATGACTTCCTTTTACATGATGGAGCTGAATTGAAGAGGTTATTTCACGGGGAGTGTGAAGTTATTGATGGCAATCTGGAAATTGAACTGACGTGAGCATCTATTATTTTCATTGATTTAGCCACTCTTAAATTTATCCAGATATTTTTAAAATTGGCGTTCTTTTTCTGTAAATTTATTTTTATAAATTTTACTTTTTTTAATTTTAAGCACACTGACATTTTATTTTGTTTTGTGCGGTAAATTTCCTTATTTTTTCAGGGATAAAGTAGGGTATTATATGGCTGGAGCATTAGATGAGACTTTGTTGCGCATAAGAGAGATCACTGGTTATTTAATTATTCGGTTTTCCACATCTTTAACATCGCTGAGATCTTTCAGAAATTTGGAGAGGATTGGCGGCAAGAGTCTCTACCAGAACAGGTAAAGGAAAATTTATCATAATTCCATGGTATTTTTGAATTGTTGTTCATTAGGGAATACCTTGACTTAAAAGTTTCCTTAACCAGTCTTCTGTTTTGTTGAATTGAGTGCGACCTTGTAGCTGTATTTGTGAAACTTTATCAGTTTCTTGAGGACAAATCTTAGTTTTTTCATTAATTACCCTTTTATTTCTGTTTATTGTTCAAGCCGAATAATAGCTGACTCCACCTGTTTTTTTCCTTTCAAGCTAATTTACATTTTAGGTTTGCTTTGGCAGTTTTTGACAACAAAAATTTGGTAGAGTTGTTTGATACAAAAGATGGCAAGGGGTTGGTAATTGAGAAGGGCTCTGTTCAATTCCAAAACAATCCTCAGTTATGCTACAAGGAGATCAGGAAATTGATTAACTATGCAAATCTCCAGAATTCGACGATCGATGCATCGCCTTTTAGTAACGGGGATCAAGCGATATGTAAAAACTTATTTGTGTTTGCATGCAAGTGAAATCAAAAAAATTTTTTTGAATTATTTTTTCAAAATTAAAGGCTTTATTCTGCTAAATATTATTAATTTGATTGGACATTTCCTTCATTTCTGAACGCCATTAATTATTTATCCAGACTTGCTTTCTTTAAGTACAAGTTTTATGGTATAGCAAGTTTTTCCTAGGCGATCAAGTGAATCTGACTGTCTGGACGGCGGATATCACACATGATTCAGCCAATATTTTTTGGGAACCGATGGATTTGAATAACACTGATCATCGAAAGTTATTAGGATACCAGGTAGGTTTTGAAAAAGAATTTGCAACCAATATGATGTATTAATTCTTGTACTGCATTAGAATAATTTAGATTTATTTTACTGAAGTTCCGAATAATAAATCGAGCATAAATATATACGAAGGAAGGTCAGCGTGTGACGATAAATGGAAGATGAGGTTTCGTCCCAATCCAGACGAAGAATTTGAACTTGGAAATATGACTTTCGTAAATAGGGCTCCACTGAACGAGACGGTTCAAAATCTGTTACCCTTCAAATGGTATCTCGTTGAGCTTCCTATTTGATGTGAAGTCACTTTCTGTTTATTGGTATTTATTATGAAATCTTCTCTCCAAACTAGTGTAACTTACACTGTTTTTTTCACCACTCTTTTTATCGTCTTTTAATTCGGACATGAAATATTACATGTTTAGGTATGCATTTTACGTACAAACCAAAGTTGTAAAACATGATGGATCTCGACAAGGGTTTTCAAAAGTTCAGTTTTTTCGAACCAAACCATACAAGCCAAGTGAACCTGATGATTTTCAGTACAAGGCATCTTCGAATGAAATACGGTAATGCTTTGCCTATCAAAGTGCTTGTTTTTTAAGGCTCATATTGATTGGGGGTCAGAACGAGGTCATTTGCTATTTTTAAAATAACTTACACAGGAGGCTACTTATAACTTCGAGGACTTAAGAAAGAAATGAAAATTTCTTTTGTATATAAGTAGAGGGCTAAGTACGAGAATTTATTAATGATGTTCACTGTTTATTGTCGGCAATTACTTAGTATTTTGAAATTATTGCAACGATAATTCTGCAAGGAACAATGGGCCACCCAAGTTTTCTATAAAAAATTATTTGTTTTTCAAAGAAGTTTGGTTGGGATTTATTTTTTGATTTTCAGACTGGGGTGGCAACCTCCTAAACTCGAAAATGGTATTGTGACGCATTATGTGATTGAAATTGAGAAGCAAGATGACTCTTTCTTTATTCATAATACGGCCGTTTGTGATCGTGGGTTTTTTTCCTAGACCGGGTTCTACATTCCTTCTATTCGAAAATCTTTTACACTCTTAATTTGTTAAATTATTTACAGATCACGGACAAAGAATAGCATCTTTAAAGTCTTATCCATTTATAAAAGATCCAGACGCTTTGAACTTGCTTGCATTTGATGAAGTACATGGTGGGACATGCAAAAAAGTGCCTAGTTGTTGCAAGTGCAATCAAGCAGAAGAACGCAAAGAAAATTTCCAGGTAACGACATTTTATCAAGCATCTTTTTATATTCAATTCGTTATAGCTAACATGTTATGCGCAAAGAATTTCTTTCGCAACTGAGTGGTAATTTTATCAGCACAGTGATTTAAAAGCGTATGAAAATTAGATATCCCACTATAATAGTCTCTAGCAAAGCTTTTCTCAACTACATTCTTTCTAATGAATATATATATTTTTTAAGGTGTCAGGATTACTGACACCAGTGGTACTTTAAAGATGTGATGAGTTCTTTTGTATATCACAGTATTTTGGTGTCTTCGTTGCCACCGACTACTCATTTTACAGATAAATGCGTAGTTGCAGAAGAATACTGAAAAAATAAGTAATTGGGGAGGAGAAAAATTTTGTCATTATTTTTCAAGCTAGATTTCTTATCACGCTTTCATTTCTGTGAATGCTTTTTTTTTTGCTTATTATATGAGTTGAATTGATCTCAGTTTTCTGTCAGCTATTGTTCTGACATTTTTTCTCAAATTAAATTTTTTTTCAAATTGTAATTACGAAGAGTTTTCTAATTATGCATGGATTCGGGCTAATTTCATAGTATTTGGCTATCAGTCCTAGTGTCGCATTTTAGGAATCGGTTTTAACCATTCATGAAAATTTATTTGCACATTTGTGGTAGCTGCCGATTTCTAGAGCCAAAATTACGCTATCGTTCAGATATTGCTGTCTACAAGTGAAAATTGGTTGTCGTTCTTAAATGTGGTTACGTACTTGTGCAGAGACTTGTTATTTTGAATCTTGAGTTACATTAAAAGAAACTTTTTATTTCAGCTTTAGCTCATTTTTTTGGTGTTTTGCTGTGTCATTTCAATAGCGCTCCTGAGGCTTAAGACATTTTAAGTCGTTTCATTAAGAAAACATAAATTATTTTTGCTATGAAATAACTTTAATTTTTGAATTTGAGTGGTGAAATTTTATTTTCCTATTTCCTCAGCTTTTTTTTTT